TTGTGAACATCTCTCTGGCATCACAAGTGGCTTGCACATTTAAAGTAGGTTTCCCTTTTCGGTTGATATACTCATCTCCATAGCATTTGGCTTCAGGATTCCTATATGTGTACAATCAATTACACCAATTGCTGTCGGAAATTTAGACATGCTTTGCCTATCCGCTTGGCCTCCATCAGTTCATGGTTGGTAGTTGGAAACTTGATTCATTCGTTCGACTGTGCAACTATGCTGTTCACAATTCTATCCACAGTCCGAGATACCATTGCTTGACTAACACCAAGTTCCTGACCAATCTCTTGTTGATATCCAGGGTCACCGATATAGCGTAGACATATCTTCATTTTATGAATACATGAAAGTACTCCTCCTCGAGTTTCCTCATTCTCAACTAAAAATCTGTCCGCAAGCCATTGTACATTTGCTTCGTCGAACAGATATAATATTTTGAAGTCACGACCAGGTGAAGGTAAACGAGGTTTGTACGTTTTAACATCCCTAACATCCACAATTTCCGCTGAGTCTGCTACTGACCACACTCAGAATTTTTGAAGGATATGCTTCCTATGCCAAGTATAAGGTGAATATTATGAATATCCTTTTACTTATGTCAATGCTTTGAAGGATATGCTTATACTCAAACAGCAAAATCATTTACTTCAAATTATTATAAATACCATCTGGAGGATTTCCTTCAAAATTGGAAAGGATATCCCTTGTTTTATGAATACGGCTCATTGTCTCGTTTTTCTGAATGACTTTCTATACAGACATTACGAAGCTGTTGTTGGACAGCCAGTATTTTGTTGTAGAGTTTACCTACGTAGATGCCGGAAGTTTTTCCAATTTCCTCGTCCGAATATTATTTTCTTTGTTCTCTTAAAGTGCTTTCGCAGGGCTTCCTCGCTAGATACTTTCATACTTTCTGGAGGCTTAACCGTTTCCTTATTTACATTTCCACTTTATTGATCCCTACTTCTCCCATTATTTCACGCAGTCAAGAAGCGTGAGATTTCGATGTTTATGGAGATCTCAAAAGGTAGAATTAATACTGCGTGGCATTTCATCTCTCCGTTCTGTTTGCAGAGTTACGACTCTTTGACCTGTTCGCTCTCTTTGATACGATCACTCAAAACGCAAAGATACTCGAGCATAAATCTTTGGAGTGAAAACAGCAGATTAATGATATATGATAACTTATACTGAGTGACAATAAAAGGTACCTACGTATGTTTATCAGAGTTCAAGAATTTTTTACTTCACGTTCACCGCACCGAGTTATGGTATGAGGTGCTATTGCTTATGGTAGCAGATCACCACCAATTTTCATCAGAGGTAGTATGACAACCCGACGCTATATTCAGGAAGTTTTGGAGCCTTATCTTATTCCATACCTAAACAGCATCGAAAACCCGATTTTTCAGCAGGACAATGCCAGACCCGATGTTGCCACCATGATCGCCTGACCTATCTCCAATTGAACATGTCTGGGACATGCTAGGTCGCAGGCTCTTGAATTTGCAACAGCCTCGACAGGCTTCAGCAGCTCTTACCCACGAAGTTACAGTAGCCTGGAATGATATATCCCAACACGATATCGACCACCTTATCAGCACGATTCTCAGGCATGTCAAGAGTATATATGAGTATATATATATATATATATATATAAGAAATCGTGGATCCTCAACACATTATCGAACCAGCTTCTGCAGTCAGTAGACGAATCAAGCTGAAAATCATTTTACTAGTAAGGGACACTGAACAGATATGCCAAAAATTATTAAAATCGGATAAACATACGTAGGTGCTTACCTTGTCACTCAGTATAATAGGATAGCAGATTTTTTCTCCACAACAAAGCATCGTCATTGGTAGAAAGGTATGTAAATATTGGCCTTCTCGAATTAGGTTTGTATAGCTTTTCTTTCACCACTAATTATCGTGTATTAACACATTTACGGCCGTATTCACTAATTCGGCATTTCCCAGACTGTTACTTATCAGTTGTACAAATTATAACAGTCTGTTAAACAATAGTAGTATAGTCAACGCCAAACAAAGTGGCGTGCACGTCATCAAGGTGGGTGTGTTGAAAAATTTACATTGTTGCCAAACTTTTTGTAAAATAATAAAATTTATTATTTACATATCTAGGTTTATAAGCAATATTAACCTCAAATGAGAACAAAAATAATAGTATAATAAAATTATAGATCTGTACTTGCATAATCATTAAGCATGACAATTATTGATCAGATGACACTATGAAACTACCATATTTAATTGATAGCTTAAAGGTACTGAATAAAAATCCAAATGGGGTCCTCCAAATTTATGCATGGTATTTATTTTACAGAATTCATACAGAAAAATGCATTCTAAAATTAGGTAAGCTACTGGTGTAAGCCTTTTCTGTACAATAAAGTTAGTCGGAGTTTCTTTCTTCAGCGCTGTCTGAATCTGAATCTTCATCACTCTCAAAGTTGATTATTAAAGGTTCGATGTCTGGTCGATCAAAAATTCGTTCTCTTTCATACCATTTAAAAATTTCTTGCTCAGTATGTCGAACACTATTTTTCCACATGTCTGGGGTAACCGTTTGTAGAGCCTCGTTCCACATATCCAAACAGTCTTTTTCACTGTTACCATCTCTACCAATATGTCTGTTATAGTAACCTTTTGCTATGCCCCAAATTAACTCAATAGGGTTAAATATACAATGGTAAGGAGGCAGACGAAGAACTTTGTGCCCATGTTGTTCCGCCAATTCATCAATCACGTATATTTTAGGTGGTTTGTTTCTAAAAAAGCAGTTATTTTAAGAATAGGAATAAACAAAAGAAATATAAACTGTCGACCAAAATATATATAATTAAGAAGCATTATGTAGCGAGCAACAATACTCAATAGCTCTGTTTTAAACATTGTGTTTAAAAATGGTATGTTTTGATTTGTCAACCAGTCTTGGATATTTTTTTTTGTCCATGCATTGTTGGGCACTTTGTTCAATATCATGCTGGGATAAGGGGCGTTATCCAGTATAATCATAGATGGACTCTCCAATTTTTCTAATAACTGATGTTGAAACCATTTCAAAAAATTGTCCTGGTTCATCTCTCCATGGTAATCGCTCAATTTTGTTTTCGAAGAAAATATCGCTTCACTACCCTCAATAAACCCATTTTCATTTCCAGCATGTAATATAATGTATCTAAAATATATTAGTTTTAAATTTTATAGTGCAAATTGTGTAAAAGTACATACCTTTTACCATCTGTTTTAATAGCTTTCACGCTTTTTTGGTTTCCATTTTGCCAAGAGCGACCTATGGTCCCATTTTGAAATATCCAAGTTTCATCGAGGAAGACAAACTGGTATAAGGCCTCAACCTTGGCTTGATTGTATTGCCTTAGAAATTCCACCCTTTTCAAAGCTATACTTGGTAGTTCCATGAGCCCTCGTCGCGGATTGTCCTTAAGCCACTTAAATCCAAGATCTCTAAGCAACCGCCTTAAAGACGTGGAACTACCATCAAATAATGCCCTATCTCTTAATCGAGACCATAAAGTTTGTATCGTAACTTGTTCTTCTGAAACCATGTGTAATATGACATTATAATTTAGTTAACAAATTAATGCAAATTTCTGATAAGTTATTATAATAAGATCTTAATTTTGTGATACATATTATAGATCACTTCTCGAATGGCACTTGTATCCAATGTCGCTGTGTTGGTTACACGTTTAATATAACTCCGCTTTTTCTTGGGCGATTCTAAATTTGCATCACTTTTCACACCCTCGGAAATACGACTAACTGTCCTTAAACTAATTTTTAAAGCAGCAGCAACACGCTACAAAAAATGAAATAAAATTTCACTATTATTAATATACATTACATATAATTATTAGTAACCTACCTCTTGAACAGCATTTAAAGGCAACAAAGGCCCGTTGTTTCCCTTTCTTGCTCAAGGTAGTGCATTAACGAGGCCACGAGTTCCTTACACCGACTATTTAACTGTTTGGGTATCTTTATATACCAAAATTGCCTTTATCTACTCGTAAAATGAATAATTTTGTTTTGAAACAAACAGTTGTTGATTTACAATATGCGGGGCCAAAGGATTTATAAAGATTTGAAATGCCACAAATTGATTCAGTGTCAAAATTAATACAAATGTCAGTTCCCAGTTTAAATAAGTTTCAAGGTGACAATGTGTCAACGCTGCGAAATCGGTTTAGTGCGTTTACATGTCGATAAGTGATTGGAGCGTTTGCAAAACATTTTATTTCGCATAATGCGTCTAAATTTATCAGAAAGCAACTTATGTGATATTTTAATAACAATGTTTATATGACTATTAACCATAATAAGAGAGTAATGACCATTTTACAATTTATATATCACATTCATATGAAACTGCAATAGAGCAATTGTTTGTGATAGACGGGGAATTTTTATCGTGATGACGTGCACGCCACTTTGTTTGGCGTTGACTATATTCACCAAGACTTTTTGGCTTCTGATAACAATCTGATTGTCATACAAAAATCGTAAATTTCTTTAAAACCCTTAAACGGTCGATGTCTCTCCTGAGATACGGTCACATGGTACTGGCATGTATTTAAAAACCCATTAAAATGTAGCGAATTGGGCGGTGTATAGTGTGAGATACATTCACTAGCAAGGTTGTGTCGCCTATGCCGGTTCATTTTATTTGCAGTTGTCCGCATGGTAGGTGGTACTTTGTGTCATTGTTATGGATAATCAACAAGTTTTGACCCCGGTAAGCTCAATATAGTACAAATTAGTTATTACAGCCTCTGGTGTGTTCGTAATTATTTAATTATGAAAGCTGATGCTTCCTTTGAGTCTTCATTGCTTTAGTTTTTCTTTGAGTAAATTTTTGAGGTTAGTTTTTGTCTTACAAATGTGTGTATCCCTAGATGCACATTGCCCATTAAAAATAACGTAAGGCATTTGATACGCAATTTATGTTAGAATACATGGTAACTTCAGAACTATTTCAGGGTATCGCTCCCCGCATATTTTACGGAAAAGCAGCAAATATTCCACATATTGTTGCTGTGCTACCACCGGACGATCCATGTGTATCAGACGTTGGCAAATCATCAGATGAGGAGGAGCTGTTTGGCGGAGACTATAGCGATTTGGACCCCAATTATCAGCAGCCGCCCACATCTAAGAAGCGCAAATGCTTACCAGTAGCTGATACTTCAAGGGACTGGGAATCAGAAGATGATTTACCTTTAGCGAATTTTGTGCAAACATCGAGAGATAATGCTATACCAGGTGGTGATAAACGTTACACTTGGAGCAAAACAGATTTCCAACACATCAGATATCCAAAACATGTCTTTTTTGCTGGAGTAGACGGAGAATATTCCCCTCTGGCTTATTTCGAAAAATTTTTTGACGATGATTTGTTTGAGCATATTGCACACCAAGCGAATATTTACTCCACACTGACAACTAGGCGTTCTATTGATACTACAGCTAATGAAATAAGATCGTTTGTAGGAATTGAGTGGATAATGGGGGTAGTCCAAATGCCAGCAATCGAAGACTACTGGGCCATAGAAACGAGATATAGTATTATTGCCGATGTTATGCCTGTAAAGCGCTTCAAGAAATTGCGAAGACGGATACACTTTCAGGAAAACAATACTGATCCGCAAGGAGATAGATTATTCAAAATTCGCCCCCTTATAGAAAAACTGCGACAAAAATGTATAGCTATCGAAGAGGAAGGTTTGTTTTCTATAGATGAAATGATGATTGCTTGCAAAGGCAAGAAAACTGGAAGTCTGCGCCAATATATGCCTAAAAAGCCAAAGAAGTGGGGGTTCAAGATGTTCGTTCGAGCAGGCGTGTCAGGAATTGTGCAAGACTTTCTCATCTATACCGGCTCTAGCACTTTTGACGAAATTCTATTTTCAAAGGAGGAACAACAAATGGGACTTGGTGCAAAAGTGGTACTTGTCCTGTGCAGAACTATTCAGAAACCAGAAGAGTCTTTCGTCTATTTTGCTAACTTCTTTTGTTCATTGGAACTAATTGAATACTTGAAGAAAAATAAAAAATTGGCAAGTTTGGGAACCATTAGAAGCAACAGACTTAGAGGATGTCCCTTGCTAAGTGACAAAGAACTTCTACGGAAGGGGAGAGGTAGCTTTGATTACAGAGTAGACAATTCCGTGGGACTAGCGGTGATAAAATGGGCAGACACTAAATGTGTGACTCTGGCGAGTTCGTAGATTTCGCACAGTCCAGTGTTTGAAGTTAGCCGATTTAGTAAAGAACAAAAGAAAAAGGTAAACGTTCAGTGCCCTCAAATAGTCAAACAGTACAACATTCATATGGGAGGCGTAGACTTATCTGATATGCTGGTTTCACTGTACAAGACTTCAAATCAAAGCGATGGTATCTCGCTATGTTTAGTCAGATGATTGATATAGCTGTCAATAATGCCTGGCTATTGTATCGGAGAGATCTAGCCTCACAAGGCAAAAAATATAATAAGCTCAAAGACTTCAGAATAAACATCGCAAAGTCTTTGATTCAATCTCGTAACGTACCCAGAAAAAGAACTTCTGCTGCAGCAAACTTGCTCCCTCAAAACAAAATAAAAGTTCCCGTCGCTCCACGGCCTACTGAAGACGTCCGGTTTGACAACGTTGGACACTTTCCAGTTTTCACTGAAAAAGGCCGCTGTAGGTTTTGCACAAATGGACAAACAACAATTTTATGTCAAAAATGTAATTTGCGCTTATGCATCGTATCAGGAGCAAATCAGAGAAACTGCTTCACAAGTTACCATTCCAAGTAATCATGTTCCTCCTAGAGGCAATGTACATTCGAAGATACAACTAGTATTTTTTTTATTTTAATTTTTTTATCTGAAAAATGTTATTTTCTGTTGTATTTGATCAATAAAAGTTCAAAAAATTAGTCAGGACTTTTAATATAGACCTACTTCTATCGCTGCCCGTTTAAGGGTTAAGTTGGTGCCTCTGGATAAAGAACCAAAGAACCACATCTAACCTGACTTTATAGCTGATGTGTATTGTCATGTGGTTGTCATTCACAGACCCAGTTTTGTAATGGTTGTAATGGTTTTGCATCATTGGAAAAGTCATAGAAAAGGATCAGCTAAATATACATCAAGAGACAATAACTTCCTTGGTTGAAGAATATCGAAGTATAATTGAAAACAAAAAGACTAACTTGGTATTTAACAAGCAGAAAAATGAGTGTTGGGAGAAGCTCGCCTGGGTATTCTATTCAAACAACTGGCCTCGGATCTGGCCAACAACTAAAAAGCAAAACAACCTAAATCTGAAAACAAGATATCATTATTCTCACAGGATTTGGACAAAGTAACTTGTTCTCTTTTTTCAGGTGAATTTGTTAAAAACGGATGGGGTATACGTAGTCGTGCCATAAGTTCTGTCCCATGATAATCTCATGATAAAAATGAAACAAGATAAGATATATTTATATGAAATATATTATTTATTCGACAACATTTTTAGAATTCATAATCAAACAGTTTTATTCAAAATGTCCCCCCTTGGCCTTCACACACTGCTTCAATCTCGCGGGCCACTCATCTATCACTGCACGCACAGCTTCCAAAGGAATAGCTGCCGCTGATCGGATCAAATCCGCTTTCAGGGACTCGATATTACGGTGGGCTTTGGAGCAGGCCAACTGCTCTAGCAGGTCCCACAACTTGTAGTCTAAAGGATTGAGGTCCGGACTCCCTGAGGGCCAATCTTCCGCAGCAATGAACTCTGGCACATTGCTTTCCAGCCAGCGCTGCGTACTCTTAGCCTTGTGAGCGGGGGCGGAATCCTGCTGGTAGACCCAGTGTTGGTTGGCAAACAATGTACCACTTAAAGGCTTGACGATAGGATCCAGTATGTCGCTCTGATAGTTTGCCGCTTTTGTTTTCACGCCCTGTTTACAGAAATGGAGCTGAGTGACCCCTTCGTAGGACACCCCCCACCAAACCATGACTGACGCAGGGTGGTGGCCTCTCTCAACTCTCGGAATGATCTCCGAAGCTTCCTGTGAACTCCTTGCATACACTTTGTCATTTTGTCGGTTGAATTTTTCTTCTATGGTGAAGATTTTCTCATCCGTGAACAAAATCTTTCGGAATCCCCCAGCTGCGTACCTCTCCAAGAGCTTCTTGGATCTTGTCGCCCTGATGTGTCGCAAGGTGGCCGTAAGTCGCTGGCCCGTACGTCTCCGGTAAGCCCCTAGCCCTAGGTCTTGTTTAATGATGCGCGACATCGTCCGGACAGGAATCTTCATTTCCCTGGATAGGATCTTCTGCTTCCGGAGTGGATTCCTTTGAATCCTGGCTTTTACGGCTTTGATGGCTGCTGGAGTCCTTACTTGACGAGGTCTTCCGCTTCTTGGCCTGTCATCAACAGAGGACGTCTCATTGTACCGCTGAATGGTCCTAGACACAAATTTACGCGATATTTGAAGGCCGCGTAAGAGTTCAAAAATCTGACTAGCACTGTGATTACACTTATGTAAAGCTATCACTGCAATACGGTTCTCTGCCTTGCCCCACTCCATCGTTATGCTTCGAGAGATCAATACAAACTGAGGTATATGTAATTACCCGAAAAGCGCTTAATCAACTGACACCACAATGTAAACAATCGGACAAGTATTAACAGGTCTACACTTGTTTGAAAACCAGGGACAGAACTTATGGCATGACTATGTATATTCCTCGAACTACTACATTTAATGAAAAAGTTTCAATCCAGAGTTTATGAAGTATTTATCACTAAATTGAATTACAAATTCTGTTCCCATGAAGATACAACCGCCTATGATAACTTATAGGCAAAGCTATCCGTATTTAATGTAATATACATAAAATAATTTCCATAAGAATTTTATTTTAAACGGATAGATACTTTGAAGACATCTTTACAAGATAACTAATGTTTTCATGACATCATAAAAATTGATGAAATTATTGAGTCTCTTGTTGCAGTATTTTGAGATCCAATTCGGACCTGGATCTCTTCAATTTGTTCCATTTCCGGTCCTTTTTCAAAAAAGTCGATAGTGTCATTCTGTTCTAAGCACATGTTGTGCAGTACAGCAGCTGCCACAATAACCTCACACGTAGTTTAGAGTTTTAGCCCCCATATCAAGATTTGGTTTTCTTTTGAGACTGGCTGGTTCCTTTCATTTATCGGTTCTGTAACATTTTGCAATACAGTTTCCAGTCGACTAAATGTATTTTTATTTATTCTATATCTTCTTTCGAACTCCAAATCATCTAGTTCAATCAAGGGAAACCTCCTAGTTCTTACAATTTTTTTTCTTGGATATCTTCAATGTCACTCATGTCTGTTTCCGAAGATTCTAATATGTCGATAATCGACGCACATGATTGCTACAAATTGGCAATACGTCATATTTTTGCTCGTGAAAGTTTTCGAGTTTTTCAATAGAAAACCCGATTTAAAAACATGGAGATAGACTCTGGAGGTCAAATTAATGATCCCCCAGGGTCCCCGATGATGAATGGACCCAGCCAGAAGGAGAGAACAGAAATTACCAAGAAATCAAAGAAATTGATGACACCAGCTGTAGCAGACGAAAAGGACTGAACCATCCAGCGCCAGACCCTGATCATCGAAAGCCAGGCCCAGCAAATAAAGGAGCTGACTGAGACAGTTGGGGATCAAAACAGTAAAATATACTGCCTGACCACCCAGATAACACAGTTAATCAATAATGCAAATTTTAATTTTTAGGAAAAGACCCATCGACAAAACCGACAAGACGGATGACTTCCCACCTCTTCCAAAAGCAAAATCAAAATTCAAGTTGACAGTCCCCTCAAAACCTTCTGCTTCATTAAACGTATCAACTTCTTCTGCCACTTGTCCTATGACGGTCGATGCAGCGACCACATCTTCTCAATCTTTGGCCACTGCATCGACTGACGGTGCATTATCTCAACACTCTCACGCTGCTGGCGAGTTGACCAGCTCAGCACCCCGCCAGGGGCGAATCACGCCCATTGTTTTGCGTGATGCGACCAAGTGGCGACATCTAAACTATACCTTTATAACCTTAGGCATTAAGATAGAAAGCGCAGTTGCCGTTGATGCGGGAATCAGGATTTTGCCGAAAACTGAGGATGACTACCGAAGAATCGTTCGCCTGTTCAGGGAGGAGGACGCGCCCCATCATACGTTCCCTCTTCCTTCAGAACGAAATATTCACGCGGTAGTCAGAGGCATACCCGCAATGTTTTCGGAACAGGAGATCAAAGGGGAATTAGAACACATGGGATATACTCCTCTCCACATTATCCGACTCAAACGCAGTGGCGGCGCACCCATGCCTTTGGTGGTCGTGATACTGCCGAAGATTGAAAAGGCGCAGCAGCTGTTCAATGAACCTGAGCTGCTGGGTCTAGCAATCAGAGTTGAAGTTCAAAAGAACTCTAGACTTATTGGGCAGTGTCACCGCTGCCAAAGGTATGGTCATGCGCAGTCTTACTGCACAGCACCTCCCAAATGTTTAAAATGTGCTTCCGACCACATGACACATTTATGCCCCCTCACAGGACAAGATGAGCGAAAGTGTGCGAACTGTGGAGGGGCGCATCCCGCTAATAGTCCCACTTGCAGATTCACCCCCAGGCGAAATCTGGAAGTCATAGCGCAAAGACGCAGCAAGTCATACGCGGAAGCAGTCGTCTCAACATCTTCGGCTGCCCCTCTGTTCAACCCACTTTGAACACGCAGAATGTGGACCTAGCAACTGCGCTTAGGTCCCTTCAACAAATAATAAGTCCCCTGATTAGCGCCACTCAGGCATTGCAGGCAATCTTTCCGCAGCCATTGAATGGCTAAGTACAATAGACAACCTGCGTTTGTCATCTGTCAGGTATCTTGGAGTCATCATTACAAGGGGTTGACCTGGCAGAAACATACTGATATTTTGAAAACAAAATTCCAAATTACCTTTCGGCAGCTTTATCCTCTGTTGTGCAGAAATTCAAAATTAAGTTTGATCAACAAGATTCGGTTGTATAAAATGGTCAAAGACCCAAAATCACCTACGCATGCGCGGCTTGGTGTTTTCTTGCCAAGACGCCCATGCAGAGACTGCAAGTCCTGCAAAACAGAACCCTACGCACAATTACATATACTAACGCCCCTTGGTCCGTGTCAAATGAGACTATTCACAGAGATCTTGATAT